CCAAAAAACCACTACCTACCACCTACCAAGAGCTTAACCACAAAGTGTACAAGTTCTTCCCATTTAACCAAGCCACCTCTACTATCCCACTTGCCAAAGTTGTTTCCCAGCTCAGAGAATACTACACCTTCAAGCTGCTCCCTAATGACTTTTTCGCCACCAAACCTCTTCTCTCAAAGGATACAAGCAAGATTAAAACCACCTCTCTATTCAACTACCCTATTACTGAGGACACTGAGACAAGAGAGTTTATCAAACAAGTCTCTCCTTATTACTGAATCCTATTCCCAATTCCAGCAGAAATCATGCAAGCCAATCCAACCAACAAACCCACTCTGCCAACTGCAGAAGAAATCACTGAACACCTTAATATTTCTATTATCATCACAATCCCACAACAACTTACAACTATAGTCAAGCTCCTCTATAAATACTACTACTTTGCCCAGCTCCCATCCGAATGGATTCAAATCAAGAGTAGCCTCCCCACCCCAGCAGTAAAAACCAACCCAGACACAAAGCAAGCCCTTTTCAATATCCCTAACAACATAGAAAAAATTATCAATACCCTCTTCAAACAAGAAATTATCATCTCTCTCCTAATACAAAACCAACCAGATATTACTTCTACAATGAAAATCCTAAGACAGTTCTACATGATTAAGAAAATCCCGGACTTCCTACTAAATCTTCTCCCACTTCCTACCCCAAGTTGGAGTATCTTTAACAGTATACCCATGATCTTATGCCCAAACACCCCTAGCACAGTCATGTCTTACGCCAGTATCATACTAATACCAGAGGACTCCACACATGACCAAGTACCCACAGAAGAGCCTAACACCACAGTAACAGATGCCTCTACTAAAAAAGCCTCATCTACTAACAACAACACTCTTCTATTAGACAAACTAACTCCAATGGATATTAATAAATACTCTAATGAGTAATTCCTATAATATACATATCCCTGCAACCTCTTAACCAACACAAACAATACACAAAACTGTAATACTTC